CGGGCCCCGCGGGGGGCGGGGTGGGTGTGGGGGTGGGGGGGTCACAACCCTGGCAAGGCGCAAGAAGGGCCGAGGGCCTGGCCGCAGCCCCGGGCTCGGTGACCAGCAGGTCCTGGCCTTCCCTCGAGGCCCCTTGGGCCCCGCGCTTGCGGAACACGCACCTCCGCGGCCCACGGTTTGGTTCCAAAAGCGCCGCTTTCGGCTCTGGCAAAGCTGCTCGGAGCAAGAGCCGCTGCTGCTCGCACCTACCTGGCGCGGGGGAGCCGCGCTCAGCCCGGAGGGTCTGGCCGCAGCGGGCAACTTCTCCCTCTTGCCCGTCCAGCCCTCGAAAGGAGCATGGTTGTCTCCAGGACCTGCCTTTTGATGGCACCTAGAGCCCTCCACGGTTGGGTGCAGGAGAAAATAAACATCACACTAGCGCTTCTGTGGAAAAAGAGGACTGGAACAGGAGGAACAGCATTTACAAATTGAGAATCAGATTAGAAAAATAACAATTGCTTTATTAGGAAGTTGAATTCAAACTACACGAGAAAGCTGAAGAATACGTTTGTTCCAGATTTCCACCCCCACAAAACATCTGGCAAAACACAGAGTGACAGTTCGCTGAACTAGCGGAGAGGGAACAGGGACCACGTCGTTTGCCCCTGCCCAGCACAGCCAGGAGCAGGATGTTCTGCCCTAGTGGGTGCAGGAGAACCACTCAACGCCCGGACACCACTCGCCAGTTCAAGTCCTTTCCTGCCCTTGGAAGCCACGCGTTTCCACCTCGCGCAGAGATGGCAAGCTGCGTTTCCCTTCAAGGCTCACAGCGAGCAGAGCACTCTCGTACGGCTTCTGGTGTTACACAGCATGATGCCAAGGGAAGAGGACCATGGGTTTTGCTAATAAAACAGTCTTGGCTCCCTTCCTGCACACGGTTGGATTCATCTTCCCTTGTAACTCCAGCGCAGCGAGCGCAGGCAACGCAGAGCCAAGCTCTGTGCTCGTACAAGGTGCTTGCTTTTGTTATTAACCACCAACCCCTCCAGTGAGGGGGGCCGTGTTCCAAACAGTCATCACAGACTTACAGCTTCCACATAAGGGCCCCATTTTTGCATTTTTCTCCCTCTCTCCTTTATCAAAGACTTTGCTCATCTCTGCTTTATGCATTCCACTTTCCCTTACCTGGCTTTGCTCAATAATTAAGCTGAGACCAGCTTTCCACCATCATCACTGTACTCTCCCCAAGAACCGTGCTCTGGAGACGGAGCCATGCTTACATACTCGCAACATTTTAGACTAGTGAAAGGTCCAGCTTGAAAGCCCAGGAGATCAGTAACCTCTGCCGCCCACAGAAGAGGCACTTCATAAGGACACCAGTTTGGATTTGCCAGTGTGGCAGTAGAAAGCTTTGGCTAACAGTCTAGTTTAGAGGTGGCCTACCTGCCCTTGACACACACTAACTTGCCAGACGGGTACTTAGGCTTCAACTCAGCTAGCTTAATACTGCACTGAAGTCTACATTTCCTCACCTATACCAAGCCCTCAAGAGATTACCTAACATCCCACCTTATTTCCTAGTCTAGACCATGTCTTAGAACAGACCCCTCCAAGAGCTGCTTCAGAGATCCAGCAGGAAAGGGGGCATCTGGATTGACGCCGAGCTGTCCACTGAGGCACTCGAGTGGAGCAGCTCGAGTCAAGCTGTAGCACGGACATCGCCTCGGCATGACCTGTCACTGCGTCAGAGCTGATCAAAAACCTGAGGCCGTCCTCCCAGTAATCTGAAGGATTTACAAAATAGTCCAGTTCCAAAAGGGAGAAAGCAAAGGGAAATACAGACACCTCTGAGAGCAAAGCCATGCCTGGTGCTTTGGTTTTTAGAAGACACTTCCTATTTTGGCACTTTGGCTAGAGGATACCCATAAAGGTTGTATGTGTTTCAGTGAACGCTTTGTTCTATGAAGGAAAAAAATTGCATTGATTCGCTCCAAGTTAACATAAATATCAGAGACTGTCGATATCTGAAGAGGGCCCAACGTTCACATCAGCTAACGCGGTCCTGGCACGTTTGTAAGATTAGGCAAAGGATTTGCTCTTCCCGCTTGTCTCAAAGGCTGCCAAGCAGCATATCACCAGGGACCAGCTCCCTGGGCATAGCTATGCAGCAAGGACGACATCAACAGCCGCAGTAGCATTGCAGGGCAACTAGTCCTATCTCACATCCTTCCCTCCCGCATGGGCAGGGGGCACTTCAAACAGCCCAGTTTACTCTTAAACCAAGCACAGGAGCACACATCCAACTGCCGGAGTACAGGAAGAACACCATTTTTTGCCAGGCTGGATTGGGGGGGGAGGGGGAGAAAAATCAATACAGCACTCCTGTACTGCATAGCTCTTTTGTGTTTGTCAGGCAAGCAGAAGGGCTCTCCATCCCCAGCACCGCACTGGCAGAAAACGGGTGAGCTGTAGCTGACAGCAGGGTCTTCCTAGTGACAACTGGAAAGCTGCTGCTGTTCCTCTGCTATTGATTTAAGCAGAATACAAAACACCTGAAGTCAGCAGGGAAAAATAGCTGCAGTTGGAAAAGAAAATGGGGGAGGGTGGCGGGGAGGAAGAGAGCAGGTAAGAAGTTCTCCATGCATAAAATTAAAGGGGAGGCTTTTTATTGCAGCTATCTTGTCTGACTACAATACTGGATCGATGTACAGAGCAGGAATCCTGCCATCGTTGTTTTTGCAACCTCTCTCTCTTTTGAGGAGGAACAAAAGGGTTTGCTCCCATTTCTGCCAGCAACTTGCTACCAACAACTCCTCTCTCCTGTTGTTAACAGGCAAGCAAGCAGCTCTACCTCTTGTTGGCCCCAAATTTCCTCAGGACAATGATCTTTGCCTACTTACTGCAGGTGCCAGTGCAGCCGCTCAAACCCTGGGGACTCGGAGCCTTTCTGAGAGAGGAGCCTGTCCGTTTTGGGAAGGAGCGGTCCGGACTGCACATGGGCACGGGTTTGCCCGAGCACACGCCACCATTGCTGTAGCAGGAACTGGGGCTGCAAGGAAATCAGTTACCTCCCCTTCTACCCCGGCTCATCTCTGAGCTTGAAAGAAGCAGGCACCCAGCCAGCTCTCATTCGGTAAGCAGCTTTCTTGGGAACCTTCCCTGTTGTGACAGCTCAAACATTACAGGGACTGCCAGAACCAAACCACTCAAGGAAGAGATCCCCTCCCCCTTCTGACATTGACAACCAAGGCAGCAGCAGGCACCACCGCGTGCAGGAGCCTATTTAAAATGTCACCGAGACACTGGCTGATGGAGGACACCAAGGCGTCCTTCCCCCGCCCTGGAGGTGATGTTGGGGTAGGTTGCTCTGCGTTTTTGTTGTTCCTTTCCTGTGGTCTGCGCCTGCTGCAACGTGACAGCCTCTAATCGCTCAGCATGAACCAGAAACGTCACTCTCGTCTGTATTGATGGTGGTGCTGCTCAGAAGCGCGAGAACACGCGCGAGCTCAGCTACCCACCCCAAAAGCATGCCCCTGAGCCATCCCACCCCTCAGCTTTACCCTTCAGGCCTTTTCTGCTTCCCTGTCACTTGAAAGCTGCCTTTCCTTATCTCTCCCTCTCCAATTGACACAGTCAATCCACAGGGCAACTTTTATGTTTAAAGGGAAAGCCACCAGTTTCTCAGGGAGCCAGGGCACAAGCTCGAAGAGCCAAGTGCAGGTCACGATGCTATCTCAACCCTCGCTATCAAGTCCACAAAAAGGCCCACCTTATTTCCTTGCCAGCCCCAGAAGGGCTTCCCATCGGTCTCGTCTCCTGCAGCAGCAAGGCCCGAACAAGCTACAAGGAGCACAACACGCAGAGGACTTGCTTCCTCACTGTTTTCTGACATCTTGCTCCCATTTTGCTCAAAGACAGGAGCCATTTTGAGCCCTTCGCAGACTCATTCCTGGCATTGCAAGCAGTTACCTTAGAGAAAAGTGAACGCATCAGTAGGGCTCCTGTTGTTCCTCTCCTCACTTACAAGGGCAGATCACTCCTCTCTCTCCCTTTGACCCTACTCCCTTGCCCGAGTTACAAAAATAAAAAACACCACCCCCTCACACACACATTTTCTGGGCACTTATAATCATTTCTACCCACAGTTCAACCACTCTGCTCCCCCTTCCATGCTTCCTTTTTGTCCAGCCATCCAGCCCAACATCTGACCTAATTGGTTAGTTGATCCTCAATTCCAGCTGTGGATGCACATTGCTTTGCTAGAGCAGAGCTGCCTTTTAGAGCAACAGTTTAGCTCACACAGGATTTGAAGAGAAGCAGCCTCAAAAGGCCTTCAGCTGAAAAGTGTCTAACGGGAATTTCTATAAGAACAGTTCAAACGGATTTTGAAAATAGCAGACTCTACTTAAGGCCTGATAATTCTGCATCTCCGAGGGCAGGAAAGTATTTGGGAGCTTTTCCAGCAGGAGCCCAGAGGAAAAAGTGAGTTTGTGATATCCTTTAAGAAGCGATCGTCTTTGGGTCTAAACGTTCATGTCCAACACACCATGCTGAGCGCAAGACACTAAGGCAATAAGTGCACTGTTTCTGGCAACAGAAACATCTCAGAAGATTTGTCAGTAACATGGTGGCTTCAGGCAGGTGACCTTGGGTCTACCCCACAGCCCAAGCCACCTGGCTTCTGTTTCTCGGGGCTAGAGTCTTTTTGAGAAAAGCTAAAAGCCAAGGAAGGGCTATTCTCCCTACTTAGCTTTCTGCCACCCCACTCATCTCCATCCCTTGGACTATGCAGGGACTCCAGTAGCATTTGATCAGTTCTTCCTCCCCTCCCTGCCCAACAATATGCAACTCAGAAAAAATTACTTCATTACACCACTGTTATCTTTCCTTAAGACACGTACATCAATTCAGTCTTCCCCAGTAAGTCCCAGGCAGCCCTTCTCATTCCCACCCCAGCATCTGCTGCTTTAGCTCTAAAACAAATAGGAGGTGGACTCTGCTCCCAAAACAGCACATGCCCTTGTTCTGAAGGCAGGAGAGCTATGAGGTCCCATACTTGGATAAGCTAAAATCAGTACTAACCCATGACTACCATAATTCGCAGGACAGGTTTCTGGGTCCTCAGCCCCCTCCCCACTCAAGGTTACAGCGAACTCTGTTCTCCAAGCAGCAGCTTGTCGATTAGACAACATCCAGCCCAACCAGGCCACCCTCAGCCCACCCTTGCCACCTTTATCAAGGAAGACCGTAAAACAAAGCCAGAACAGTCCCACAAACAAAATGACACCGAGAAAGAACTAGAACAAAGAATTGTTTAATTGCTTAACCCTTTCTCTTCCAGGGACTAGAGAAACAAGTTTTCTGCTCCTTCTAATGAGGACAGTAAGGCTTGTGTGTTACCTCTACAACTGCAGGGGCAGAGTTTACGAGATGATCATCTTTAGTACTCGAAAAAGCTAGAAGCAATGGTCTTTGCAACACCAAGAGAATCCTAGAGTCTCCGAACGGAGAGCCCATTGCTAGAATACAAAAATAAAGGAGGCATCCCTGCGTATCCCAGGCTAGAAAGAGTTAACCAGAAAGAGCAGGAAGAAGCTTTCCTGAAGAGGGGTCAAAGTAAACAGCAGAGGTCAATAAAGCAACATCTTTTCCCTACTTCCCTAGCATGTTTTTCCTTCACCAATAAATACAAATTCCTCATTAACAAGCAACAAAGCAGGCAATCTGCCCACAACAAGGGGAAAAGGGGGCTAGAGACATTTTTCTCTCCCCTTCCCTCCCATTATTATTTATCTTTTTAACCAAAGCAGCCATTAAAAAAAGCAATCCACTGCAGAGGCAGGGAATTTTGTAGCTTTCACACTGCAACTGGCAGGTAAAAGAGCTGCACTGTCTCACAAGGATAAAAAACAACAAAAAATAGCTGCCACAGCAAAAGGTGAATGGGGAGGGAGAGGTCTGTTCCTTTCGGAGATTCCAATCTTTCTTTTAGACTTTCAGTTTAAAAATCCAAGTCTACAGACATTGTCTAGTAGAAGCTGAAAAAAGTTTGAGTGGGGGGCAGGGGGGAGGTGTGTCTAGTAGGAAAGCCTTAAGCAAAAAAGAAAAGGCCAGACCACATCAAAAAGCCACCCAGGTGAGAAGGACTTTCAGTTGCCTCTGGGTTCTAAAGAGCATTGGGTGCCAGGGTACATGTCGGGTGGGGGAGCATGTACACAACCAAATGGGTAAACCGAGCAAGCAGGCACATCTACCACACTGGTGGTGTGTTAAAACTAGCAAACATGCCCTCAGCAGCTACGTGACTATCTGTCCCAGGAGAGCTCTGCTTCAACAGGAGACGATGGAGGGTAAGTCTGATTGAACTACAAAACAGAAGCCTGCCATCACAGCTCAGTAGAGCGCAAGGGTAGCTGGTCTTTCCTTGGTGGTGTGGGGCATGCTCCCTAAGGGCTGGGGCTTGCTAAGGCTCAGCTTCACCTACACATGAGAGCGCAGACGGAAATGTTTGTCTTAGGAGCAGAGATCAGGTCCCGATAGCTCCACTGTGATTGCGGGGTCAGGGGGCGATGTCCCTCTATGCAAGGAATAGCACCCTTTGAGAGAGGCTGCCTGCTACAAGACTCTGCCACCTCTCTCCCTCTTGTACAAGGCTCACCCACCTCAAAGAGTGTTTTAGAAGGGAGAGGAAGCCAGTTACCTTGATCAGCCAGCACTGTGCAGTCTCTCTCATCAACACCTGGCAGCCAGAAGCAGCCAGAAAAGGAAAGAGAGTCCTCATCCTTCCACAGCAGGGACGGGAAGACCAGGGATTGCACCACATGGAAGAACAACCCTAATGCAGCATACACACGTGCGCACACACTCCCACACACATCTCACACCCCTGGGACCAAGGTTAGCATGTTCAGACCTTCAGCAGTAAGAGATAAGAGACAGTGCAGAGCAGTTAAGATCTCCAGGGGCTCTTTGGTCTTAGTTGATAGTCCTAGAAAAAACAACCTCTTCAGCTTCGGTTGTAGCACAGCTGTGTAAGATCTACTCAATGTTTAGTGTTTGGCAACTGCAAGAGGGGAAAAACAGGGCCGCATGTTACATGGGAAGAGAAGAAATGGAAGTACAGTGCTGCGTTTCTAGGTGTATTTCTGGCTTTACAGCCAGAGTCAGTGAGGGAGGGGAATGGGAAGAGGAAGGAGGGTTCCTGAGAGGACCACTAATCCATCGGATGTTACAACAACAATGAGGTGGAGAAGCCCATCTTGGTCAAGACAGAGCAGCTGGCTGCACTAAAAACCTGCTGTCTAAAAGCTCAAAACATTAGTTGCAACAGACACATGGTGGCAACGTTCTCAGCTCCAGCACAGGTGACACGGAGGGAAGGTGAATATAGCTACACATATTTGGGGGCAATAGAGAGAGAAGCTCTGGAAGAGTGCCGTTACCAGCCCCTTTCCTCAGTAGCTTTAGGTACATTAAGTCTTAGGCCTCTGATCAAACCTCCTCCCATTGTTGCCACCTTTCTCCACAAGTTCTTAACCCATAGAAGAAAGTATCAGAGCTGGGCAAGCATCTCCTGCCCTGTTGAGCTGCACATACTCAGTGCCTCCCCTGATTCATCAACTAAGACAGATGCCCAGGGACAAGAACAGGCAACGTCCAGTCCTTAACACAACACAGATATATCTGGGGATGACATGTTAGAGATGGAAGCCAGAAGAAAGATGTTACAGGACAAAACAGGTGTTTCACGGCCAAAAACCCTAAAGCAGGGCCCCGACACAGGCTGGCAGCAGAATGTCTAAGCCAAGCTTCTAAGACCAAGATTACTGCAGTAAAATCATTCCATAACCCCTGCCCTAGGTTTGTATTTTATTCAGGAATTTAACATCCCCTCTGCAAATGCATGAATGCGGGCAACATCCCTCTGTACCAGGTCATACAGCAGCTCTGGAAAAAATCACCAGCTTATACTGCTTACAGACAACTCAAAGATCCCTGCCGGGACTAAATTCCGCTAAAGGCAAACCCTAGACTGCACTGCCATACTGCTCAGTAGTGTGACAGGAGGAGGAGGTGGTGGAGGCGGTGGTTTACAGAGACGGCTGCTCCTGCCCCTGCCAGCTTGTCCTACTCTGTGCATAGTGCGAAACAGTGCAGTCATTCATCAGAGAAAGTTCAGGACCAAGGAAACTAGGTTCCCTTTCAACCAAACAATTAGAGGAAGGAGAGGCAGTTCTGTTTTAGCTGGGCCGGCACTGGACTTGCCCCTCTGAGCTGTCTTCATCGTCTGAGCCTCCAGCCCCACCACTTGTCAGTCCTGTAATCCGGTACCCCATGTTCAGCAACATCACCTCCAGCGGGTCTGCGTTCATTCGTCTCTGGTTAGCTTGGGAAGCACCTTCCATGTCTACCACCACACGGCCATTAAGGGTTTCACTCTGCAAGGCAAGAAGGGAGAAAACTCAGCAAGACAGTGCTAGAGCCAAAGAGAGGTTATTACCGCTGCCACAGCTATCAAGAGATCCCAGTCAGGAAGGCAGGGCTGTGTTACATCTTATGCCACCAGGACAGTCTTTTACTGTGGCTCTTACCTCTGGCCTGGGATTCCACAGCCGTACAACTGGGTCAATGCCGCTGGTGGCCAGGAAGCAGTAACTGGGATGAGGCTGGAGACAATTCACAATCGACTCGTCTCCCTGCAGCACTCTAACAAGATTGGTGGTTTCTTTCTCCCAGATGAAGAATGAGCCGTCATCTGACCCACTGACTATGTACTGCGCATTGCTAGGGTGAGAGGAGCAGAGGCTGGAGATCACAGCTCAGAGCCAAAGCTAGTCTCTAGCAGACATGAGAATCTCAGTTGGCTTCTATAATCAGCAGGCTGCCACCCCTCACACACATGCTTATGGATCCAGACAAAGCTTTCTGTGTTGCTTCCCTCCAGCCCCAGAATCCTTGTTTTCAATCCCAAATGTTTTTTCTGAAAAGCTAGCCCAACCAAGTCCTCTGTGGATCGGCTACTGAACCTGCTATTCATGCAGCCACGTAAAAAGGAGAGTTTCTATCATCTTTTTCAACCCCATAAACCAGTGCCAGCATCGTTTTATGAACAGTCATGTGGGACTATGCATGAGGCTTTATCCGATGGAAGAGAGCATTCTGCTGCTGCTCAAATTCCTGTCCTGCATCCCTATCACACTGTACCAACATACCTGCCAAAGAAATTGGCCTCTTTGATGTCTGTAGTAGTGTTACAGTGGCCACAATATCGAAATTTGTAGTCGTAGCTGCGCTCCCTCAGCACCATCTCATCCTCTGAGATGGAATCCTTACGGCCTGTGGCTCGCAGCCGGATGGGGCCACCCCCCTTCTTGTCTTCAGCTGGAAGGACAACAGATTTCCCTCATCACGATTTGGGCAGGAACACATTCTAAGCAAACAGAAAGCACCCTAGAAGAGCCCACCAGCTTTAGAGGAGCGTTAAGGACAGTTTCAGCAGGGAACAGAGCTTAGCCCACAAGCTTCTCTCCAAATCATCTCCTGGATACAAGGGATTTTTATCATGCTCTCACTTAAGAGTGGACCAGGACCAAACCTGAGGCAAGAACAGGCTCAAGCCAGGTTCTGTCCACAGTAACAACCAATCTCTCTCAGAAGTTCAAGCTTTACTTCACAGGGGCAGGTTAAGGAGAAAAATCCTTGTAGAGATTTGACTATAACCTCGAAGAACCGCCCTGAACACTGGCACTCACCGTTATCACTCTTGGAGAAGAGGGCTGCATTGATGTCTCTGTCTAGTGCATCGCAGGCACTGCTATGTGCTTGTTCTGGGAACTTCCCTTTAAAGTCATCCAGACACTCCAGTGCTTCTGCCACATACTTGAGTTCAAAGAGACAGCGGGCAAGACGGAAATGGGCCTTCAGGTGGCATGGATTCAAGGATATGGCCTTCAAGCAGTCTCTTAGAGCATCATAATGGTCCCCATCCCTGAAGAAAAGGGAGGGGTAAAATAGATAGTCCAGGTAGAAACAACATGCGTCTTCCACTGCCATTTCCCAGCCCTTGCTTCACTCCGAAGTTTATTGTTTCCATTTCTCTCTATTCAAGCAGACAACCCACAAGCTCACATATTAACAACATTTGCTGTCTCCTGGGGCACCACCTGACCAAGCCCAGCTTGTTGAATACACCTCCACAAAGAACCCCTTTCCTGTATACAGGCAGCCCCGTAACATGACCACACAGCAAAGCCCAGCAAGTCTTGACCTGCCATTTTAAATCCTACAGAGCAGAGCTCAGATATAATGCGTTTAGGGAAGTCCTTTGAAGATGGAGGATGCACAAGGCCTCTGGCCAAGCACACACAAGGCATCTCCTGCAAGGCGAGTAGGGCCTCCTCAGAGCACAGTAGCTCACGTGTGCCCCTTTGTGGACGCACAGCGTGGCAGCATGTTTCCCTGCCCACAGCCACTTGTAGTCCTCAAGAAGGAGCTATAGAACCACCACACTTAATAGACTATGGGCACAGATCTAAAGCAGCAATCTTTTCTCAGTTTTCTAGGAAAGAAAGTAAAGTCTAAAAAAAAAAAAAAAAAAAAAAGGTGTTACAGCAGATTCATACCATAGTGGATACTTATAACCTATTTACCCTCACTGGAGACTATGCCTGATTTCCCTATGCTCCATAGCTGTGGGACTAAGAGTGCCTCAGCTTGTGCTCAGGAAGCAGGAAAGCTTTGACAAGGCTTGCAGGCCGGTGTTCAATTCAGTTTGATAAAGGCTGAGAAGTCAGCCAGGGCTGACAGGCCGTTGCCTGGTATACTAGCATCAAGCCTAAACTGTCCAGAGGCACCACAATCCGTCTTAAGAGTGCCAAGTCTGCATATGATGGCAATAAATAAATCAATATGAGGGTTCATACCTGTAATCCAAGTGCCCTGGGTCTGCCAGAGTCTGAAACAGCCCCGAGGAGTGCGAGTTGTCCTGTACTTCCCATAGGGTGTTACTTTTGAATCTTGTGGAGCCTTTATCAGGAAAGGGGTACTCCTGTATCTCTACTAATTAAAGGGAGCCCTGAATCTTTGGGTTATACGCTGAGCAGTGCTACAGGCACGTTCTGCAACCCATCCATCCCATTGCTCTTTCGCTCCTCTAGGAGGATACTGGCCACAAATCACAGCTCGCTAGCACAGTAGAGAAGGTGAAGTAGCTTGTCCATGCCATCAGCAGCAGAGCAGAAGAAACCCGGTTCTTGATGCCTGCAGCCATCTATTCAGCAATGGGTCAGTATGGATCCAGGAGGCTGGATGCATAGCATCAAGCTACTTTTATTCAAATAAAGATGTAGTGCAAATTACCAGTTATGGTGGCAGACCGGTATCTTGTATTTTTCAGAGCCGGCTAGGTCATTAGCTACTTTGCCACCCTCCAAAAAAATCCTTCAACCCCAACTACCAGAGTCAGACAGCCAATGGACTGGCATGAAAATTTACACGCTGGGATGCGAAGCAGGTGCTGACTTCTCCCATAGGTACAGGTTTGACCCGGCTTGTGTACAAATGCTTTAACTAGAAGTCCACTGAAGTACTGTCAATATAGACTGCTAAACGCAATCTGGACAGCGATGCAGATGGTTCTTATAACCACATTTTAAAAGGACAGTGTTTGCAGTGATACAGAGCATGGGTAGCAAATTGAGGGAAGTGAGCAAGGGGAGGTTAGGGAATTACAGATCTTCTTCCTAGCTCTCTCTGTTATTCAGAGAACGAGGCCAAAGCAAAGCCTGCAAAATTTTACAGGGTGGCTTCATTCGTGCCTTGAACGTGAGGAACACCTTAGAGACACAGCATGGTTCAACATGGGTCATAGTCCAACTGCCTTCACCTTACCTTCTCCCTCAGTGAGGTCACAGCCCTCACCTGCCAAACATCAGTAGCAGAAAAATGCCCCATCTTTTCTGCTCCTGAGAAGATACCAGCTTAGAACTGAGCATCAATTCTAATCATTACGAGTCACAGAAACCCATCGTGCATATATTTTCACATCTGCCAGCTACAGAAAACTGTAGCAAGATCTAGCTGACACTCAAAGGAGCAGTTTACTTTCAGATCTGCCATCCTTCAGGAGAACAATTCCTATAATGAAAAAGTAACTCATGAGATCAGCACTCAGCTTTATCTTCCGTTCTTTAAACCCACCCTATTGTTCTTCTCCCTCTGAACACGGGTCTTTTTGAGGCAGCTCCCAAATCTCTGCTATTGCAGAACAGCCAGTAGGCCAGTTACCAACAGTCACAGCAAGTGCTGGCTGCTCTTTGTCTTGGCAAGAAGATGGGAGAATTCATACTGGGGATTTCAGCGGGGAGGGAAGAAAGATATCCTCACAAAGCAAACGTAGATGAAGGACCACAGCTATTTTAAATATGTTAATAGTAAGTCATGTTACTCAGTCTTACTCTGCTCAAGGGGACAGATACTAAAATAGCTCAGCTGTATTTTGCAGATGCAGCTCTGGCTATTGGTCAGAAAAGACATTAGATACTGTAGAGGCTAACAGCATACTTCGCTACAATCACGACAGAACCTCCCTCCCAGACTCTGGGGCACAAGTGCCACCTCACCACATCCCTCATAAAGGTTTGTTTCCAGTTGATCAGAAGGTGGGTAAGCTACAGTAACAAGGGAACCACCAGGTCACATCTGCCTTTATCTGCAACAACACTAGTCACTGGGCTCAAATGGCAACCAAAGTAACTCCAGGCAGTCCTGCAACAACCTTAGATCATGAGATATGAATTAGGAAGCATAGTAACCACTACCTCACCCTTTGACAGCAGATTTAGGGACACATTCTCATGCACACCAGAACTACCCAAAGAAATACAGGCACCCTGCAGACACTCGTAATGCTATCACTCAGAAATGGATTTTTGGTTTCTTTTTGAACAGAAAAGGACCAGAGCATTACTCAGCACACCAATGGGCAAAACGATGAGCTACTGCCAGCTACGCTTGCCTATGTGGTATCTGTGGCCATGAGCCTCCAATACATGCTACTGTGCAATCTACTTGTTCTGTGCTAGGGGTGACCCACTTACTGCTTGAACCCATAACCCCAACCCTGCTTCACCCATAGCGAAGCCAGGTGCCTCACAGTGGACAACAAGGTATCTGTAGTACCCAGAAATCAGACACCAGCGCTGCCTGTGACACTAAGCTCTCTGATACTGTGTCTCACAGAGCTTACCACTTGCGCTTCATGTAGGCAGCGGCTCTGTTTCCATACAGCATGGCGTTGTTGGGGGCTTTCTGGACTGCTTTGCTGTACAGCTGGATGGCTTGAGTCCACTGCTGGCAAGCAAAGGCCTCGTTGGCTTGCTGCTTAATTCTCTCCAGATAGGGAGGCAACTCCACCTGGGGACTGAAGGGAAAAAAGGAAAGGAGCACAGTTAAGTCTCACATGTTAACACTCCAGTCCAGCTAAATGTCTGTAGGGTTTTATTCTAGCATGACAGCTTCCAGCAAGCATTGGCTAATATCAGAAGTTTCAGAAAAAGGCAGAAGAGACCTTGCCCCTCAATACAGGTTATTCAGGTACAGGTTTATGACTTTTTTGTTTGTTTAGTTTGTTTTTTTTTTTTTAAACTCAAATTGAATAGTGGGTATTCTAAGCATCTAATCCTTCAAACTTCACCGGTACACTTTGCTTTGACTGCATAAACAACATTTCCAATCCCGTTCCAGCAATGCTTAACAGAGGCAAGTTCAGAAGGAAATCAAGCATCTGAGCTCACAGGGCTGCACAAGGCTCACGCTCAGCCAGCCGAAATTCCACCCACAACTCTGTTGCCGTGATGGAGGGGCCACCTAGAGGAAACAAGCTGAAAACATTCAGCAAAGCGACTTTAGTGGAACCTAGACTACCCATATATGGCATTAAGCAACTGCGCCTTGACTGTTAACCATGCCTCATCAGCTGGAGGAAAACCAGCCAGCAAGATGTGCCGCAAGTCTGCTTCTGCTCCCCCCAACTGCATTTAGCTTGTAAAGAAAAAAGCAGCAGACCACAGAGACAGCAGAAGAGGGTTCTCCACCCATTCCTAGCTCAAATGCAGACTGCGGGAGTAATTACTCCAGTATCATTATCGTGAAGCAATTTTGGCGGCTCCAATTCAGTTTGCAGCAGGCAGGAGCCCAACAAACAGCAAAGGAAAGAAAGACTCTTTGGATCTGACAGTCTCCCCCATCTACTAAGACACAGTCCCTGCAGGTCAGGAAGTAACAGCCACTCAGGACAACTAAAAAGGACCTGGTTTCCAGGTCTGAAAAGTCACTTCTCAGTTTTGTCAGCAGTAATTCGCTATAAAAATTGATAAATCCTAACGGACAGCACTTCTCCCAGGACACTGTTGTCTGATCTGACTCTTGTTCATAGCCCGTTCACCAGCAGCAAAGACAGCCCCTAGGACAGAGACCCCTTGACAAACAAGTCAGCATGCCAAGTAGATTTCCATTTCACACCCTGTTTAGCAGCATCTAACCCCAGCAACAGGAAGAGACTGTGAGTGAAGCCACAGGACTTTCAGTTAGGCAGACCTATCCTCTTACCTCACATGTGCTCTTCCTTCAGACAAGCGGAAGCCATTGCTGTGGAGGTGGATGCCATTTGACACTCCATTGGTTGAGGTTTTCCCATTCTGCACTTCTGAAGGTTAGGAAGAAGGAAAAAAGGATCAAACCATGCTATGGATCAATGTAAATTATACAAATTAACCTCTGAAGCTTCAGAGTTTTCTTTTACAGCAGAGCCATGGTTACACCACTGCTTCTTTTACTACCTGGATTTGATTTGCCAGCTTGCATTTACACAAAATTTCTGCCATATCCTTCAGAACAGAACTGTGGAAACAGAAAGCCAGATACACATAGAACTACACACACACACACACACACACACACACAGAGACGGCAGTTTGAACTGAACTACCTTCAGACTGAACCTAGGCCATAATCAGAGTACCTGACTGATTACCAGAAGCCTAATATTTAAAACTGTAGCTTTACAAATGAAAATACTTCTACATGCCTTTGCATTTTTCAGTGCGTTGAGACAAAGTATCATGGAGCTAAGTTGTTGAACGTTTAGTAGAACGGGAAGAATGAGTGGACTCAATCTAGGAATTCAGTGAAGGAATTCTAGATGCTTTTTCTTTTTCCTTCTTTGCTCTTTAAGCAGTAGGGTAAGAAAAATTTAAAAAAGAGTTATCAGCTAAAGTAATCTTCTGAAGATCATGCAGCCACATCACCTGCCATTTCTATAGAGAGCATTCAACTTCAGGTTTTACAAACGGCCCCGCATTTATATTGCGGCTGGGAGTGTTCCTGCAGCCATTTTGGAAGCTGGCAAACTGGGGACAATGTCCAACCAGTCTTCAGAACTGTATGGAAGTTTAAGCGTGCAGAGACATGCATGCACATGAAGTTCATCCTCTGTACAGATGACACCTTTTTCACAGCCTTTGCCTGAACTTTCTGTGCCCAGCAGGATGGAGCGTTTGCTACAGTTGTACCACTATGTGCCTGTTCAAACACCGTCCTGCCTTTTAAAGTGTGACCTCACCAGATACCACAGTGTAGATCACCCACGTGCATTCAAGACAGAAGAGAAAGGCAGGCAGGGCTGGGAGTCTATTTGCTACCAGGATGTGAGCTTTAGATTAAGGCCCAAGGCGAGCCGAGTACACAGATCAAACTCTGCCAGAGAGTGCTCCGAGAAAAGGGAAGGAGCTGAGCTGGGAACCCTCCCTGATAAGGGAGAGTCAGCCTCTGCCTTCAGGATGGCGCTCTAGAAGTTCACCGCTTACTGCCTGCAGTATCTGTGTATGAACAGGCCCTGTAAGAAACAGGGCCAGGAATGAAAAGGCTCTTGGATTTAATTATTATATCAAATAAGTGACTTTTTGATTCAACTATCCTACCACCAGAAGGGAGATGAATTCTAGACTAGATTCTTAGGCTAGGGAAGAGATTCCCTTGCGTCCTCCCTAATGGATACATAAGGGGATAACAGATCCATCCTACGTTTCATTAATTAAAAAAAAAAAAAAAACCACACAAGAAAAACACACCACACACACGCACCTCACACATTCCCATGTCTGTCCACACAAAATTATCTGCTTAACTTGAAGGCAGGATACTACGACCTTAACCACCTTCATGCACCGTTTTAAGCATCCTCCTTAGCTGACACACATATACACCTCTTAACAGCTCACTTCTCCCCTTACAACACGTTTTGTCACTCTCTAGAAGAGTTTTGGAACCCAGGGCATGAACTGCACTGCAGAAATAGCCCAGCCACAGCCATGCCCTACTTTGTTTCCCTAGCTCCTGCCCAGATCAGGCTGCAGCCTGAAAAGAGTTGTGAAGTATGTGGTTTCTCTGTGCCTTCCACTAACTTTCATGACAGCATCGTACTTACCCCCTGAAGTATGGCACTTCTTTGGGAGAAGAAAAGTGTATGGTCGCTGTTTGTAAGTTAGGTCAAACAAATAGACCTAAGGAAGGAAGAAAGAGAACAAGAAAGAAAGAAAGAAAGAAAGAAAGAAAAAAAGTCAGTGAAACAGACACCAAAGTCACAGAAGTCAAAGAAGGCTAGTGGATACATGGCTCCACACACTGTTCATCATTTGCTATGTCCAAATTTCTAACTGGGTGATTTTTTTTATGGACATGTACACACAGGATGACAGCAGTACCAGTGTCCTGTTACATTCCAGCACTAGGTTCAGGAAAAACAACACTGACAAACAGGAGCCTCATCTTTCTCGTAAGGTAACAAAGCCCTCTCCACACCTAGAGAACTTAAAAGATGACTTGACCAGAAACTGACATGTTCAAAAAAATTTCAATTTTAAGAATATATTAACTATTCTATTAACAGAGCAATTATATACAAATCAAACATTTATGGGCAGAAAAAGGCAATATACTAAGCCGAGGCCAAGATCTCCTGAGAAACTTCAAAACCAACCCTGCAAAGCCCCAGTTTAAAATTTTATTGGTATATAACCTGACAGTCCAGATCAGACCCATAATTCATCTAACTCAGTACCCCCTCTCAAAGAGTGCAAACGTAGTGTGAGAAAGAGCTCTACAGAGGATGACCACAGAGTAACCTGCCTACAAGGGAAGTTCCCGCTTAATCCATGCTGATTAGTGCTGTCAAGCAGATTTTCTCATTTCACTGATAGGCTTTATAAAAGATCCATGCATATCACCTAGCGCTTAAAATTAAAGCAATCAATGCCCCATGTGAAGGTCTTTGGTTCTGCAAGTTCTTTATTTACTAGATTCTATTACAGAAGCAGTTTGATGTTTCAAGAATGAGTTACAAAATCTTTTTTAGGTCAGGAAAGGTCCATTCCAGAATTTCATTTCTTTCCTCTTCCAGAGAGGGGAAACGTGAATTGCAAAACCAGATCAAAATGCTGTTCAAGTTTAATCAGTGGGAGCATAACGATTAAATCCCTCATACCAGACATTTAGTCTGAATGAATTAGAAAACAATTTAAAAAAAAAAAAATCAAATTACACACAGAGAAGTTGCTATACCTGTTTTGAAGAATGCATGACAACATATGCTGGCCCAAGAAGCACACCTGAATGTGAAGCTTTGTGCCAAACTTTAGCTGTCATCTTACCTGCTCCCCTCCCATGTTGACTAAGAGCTCAGTGCCATCAGGACTGAAGGTCACGTACGTGGCCACCAGAACTCTCAGCCGGTTGTTGTAGTCTGGAAGCTTCACTGGAAGGTGCCCTGAGGAGGGAAGAGGTCCATACATATTAGTGTAACTAGTAACTGTCATCTTTGTCCTACTCCAGCTGCTCCCTTTTCCCAGAGGTCGTTAAGAGAGCAAGGTCATGAAATACAAGCACCTCAGTGATTTTCTGCTTTCCTACTGCTGTTTATTAAAACCTTTCATCAGCCACTGAAATGCTCAGATGTACACAGCTGTCTTTCCACAGATTCTAGATACCATTTTTGCAAGGCCACCTCCATATGAACAGAAGACTGGATTCCAGCTGGCTTACTCACACTGAACTCTGCAGAATCCAGCAAATCTCAGTTTTAGGGATTCACTAAGGACTCGGCTTCTGTGATTTGTGGCCAACTGCAAACACACGTCTCCATCTACAACCCTCTAATCAGGTTTCCTTAATAAAGCTCTTACCACAACCAAACCCAGCCTCCTAAATATTCAGCTCACACAAGGGTTCTTCTGCTTCAGACTGGAGATGCGTTGCATGACCAATTCAGGGGACCTAAGAAATCCTCTAGTGGGACTCATCATAAGCAAAACTGTCTAAACTGGTCTGCTGAACATGCTGGTCTAAGATACTTAAAAAAATAAACATTTGGGGGAGGAAAAAAAAAAAAAAAAAAACAATCAGTAGCGGGGAAGAACGCCATCTAAGTTGTCCAGGATTTACATCTCATTTTTTATTTACAGTATGAAGACAAGCCACTTGTCTTCTGTGCCAAAAAGATTGTAAACAGTAGCCTTGATGGGATCAGTTCCAAAAGAAAGTCTATAGCCCCCAGGTTATCCAATCCTTGATTTTTCCAATAAAGCTGACAAAAAGACATTTATGCTAGACAGGAAGGAGTAAGGCCAGCTCACCAGCACACACTACTGCCAAATTAGGGAATGTGGGCAGGTAACATACTCAAGCAAGAACTCACAGCATAGAAGTGAGAGAATCTACAATTTCACAAAACACCCCTGTGCTAGAGAAGAGCTCTTCCAAGCAGTGGCTTCTGATGTGACGGGTACAATTCAGTTTCTTTAGGCTTTAAATTAAAGTCCCATCAGTCACCCCTAGCTCAAGTCCCAATACCTGCCACGTAGTACTGTGCTGCACCATCCGGGAGGGGTTTCTGCCGGTCGCAGAATGTGTGTACTCCAGCTGAAGGACTCTGCTTCATGCTTTTTCTAGCCAGAAAGAAGAGTAGTTTTATAATCACAGCATTCAACCGCTGGAAGCCTGATCTATCCTGACACTCCTTGTTCACACACAAGGGTAAGGCCACACACTTAGACAACTGTGCAGTCTCAAACCTGCCTCACACCACCCTAGTGTACTTACACAGATCAAAAAGATTCTGTAGGTGAGAAAAAAGACTTGGTAGAACTGCACAGTGAGACAGGTGAGCTCCAGATCCTTGCAACGTCCCCTTCCCACCAGAGCCTTTAGCAGGTCTCTGCACCACTCCTGTCTGCCAAGAAGGCCCAGAAGAGCCAGTTGCTATTACCTGTGGTTGTGGATCATGCGTATGTCATAAAGCCTCACGAAGGGCCCACTTGCCCCCACTGCTAAGTAGTTGTTATCTTGGGGGTTGACTGTGAGGCATTTGGCCTCCACCAGCTGCCCACAGTACTCTGTCAGGTCTATTAGGACTTCTGAACGTTTGCTGTTCTCTCGCAGATCGTACTGTCTGTAAAGGGAAGAAAGAGTCAGGTGATCTGCATCACTAGATAACAGAAGTAGCAGTAAGGGAGAGTTTAGCTTTCCATGGTGACCAAACTGAAGACAACTCAAGCCATCTCATTCATACTGCTCAGTGGTAACCTACATTTAATTATCTGGCTTGTGTATGAAGAGATGACACTTAACCACAAACAGTCATTCATGTCACAGGTAACTGGGAGCACCTCAGTTCAATATGTGCTAAGCCTCAATATCAGGAAAATCACTAAAAACAACTTTATAATGTCCACAGATTTATTCAAGCGCCAAATTAAACTCCAAGTCATGACCTCACAAACAGTATCTACTATGAAAAGCAGAACAGATTCCAATGGTAACATCTACTCATTCTGGAGCCTCAATGACTTTGGAGGAAAACTTCACTATGTTTTAACTGCCTTCCTCCCATTTGATATGGCTGTTCCTCTCTTAGCCTCCCTTTTCAGTGGGGGGAAATACTCTCCCCAGCTTCTCTACTTTATCAAAGTAGTCTACATTTCAAGATGAAACCTTCCAGTTTCAGGAAAGGGAGCGATTAGCCTATGCTCTTTACAGAATCACAGAATAGCTGGCACTGGAAGGGATCTCTGGAGGTCACCCAGTCTAAGCCCCCTGCTCAAGCAGGGTCAGCACAGAACAGGTGGCCCAGGACTATGTCCAGTCGGGTTTTGAGCATCTCCAAGAACGGAGACTTCACAGCCTCTCTGGGCAACCTGCTCCAGGCTGTTTAGTATAGAGACAGTCTCTCATTAGGTCTACACATAGCATATACTGCAATGGATCCTAATCCAATTCATTTTAGGGCAGAATGACTAGATTGCTGTACCTGATTAGCCCATCTTCTGCTGCACTCCAGAAGGTGTTGGGCCACATGGGAGCTGTGGCAATCCGCTTAACTCTGTTGGTGTGATCTCCAAACATGTGGATGGTCTCCTTGACAGTCAAGTCATGGACATGCACCTTGGAATCTGCAGCTCCTGTGATGAGGATCCGATCTCCTGAATGTGGCAAGAACTGTGGAAGACAGACTTGACGTTCAAACTGCAGAAGTGCTAAGGCTCTTCACATGTCACTGACTTTTCTGGCAGGTCACAGACAGAGCAGCTTGCTTTAGGAACACAGGACGACCCACATTGCTACCTACGTTCCCCATATATGCCAGTGGAACACTCACAAGCCACCAACTACAGTAATGGCCTTTTCATCACACCTCTTTTGCTACAACCATTTCCTTTGACTTTATAGAGATAAGTAGCAAAGCCCAGGAGCTGCAAAAACTAAGAGGCGCAGGAGTGAGATTTAATGCAATTTTTCCTAACCTTAGACATTCTAAATTATTTCTTTGGGAAATTGGCTCACATAAAAGAGTTTCCCAGCAACATTTGAGGATCTGTTCTCTTGCTGCTTAAGTTGCTGATGTTATGCCAGCCATTTATTCCTCTTAATCACACACCTTGACAGAAAAGATGTTTGCAGTGTGCCCTGTGTGCATAGAAAGGAGCTTCTTGTGATGCAAAGGATCCCAGACAATGGTATGCTGGTCATCAGATCCAGAGGCCAACAAGCTAAAAGAAACAGAAGAGGAGAATTCAGTCTGCGTTCCTCTTCCAAGCTATGACCAGTTTCTTAGAGTGGTTTGATCACAGTCAGCCATTAAGTCAACTCAGCTGCAGGAAGCCCCCCTCCCCTCTCTTTTCTCAGCTATGTATTCTTGTTGCTTCCTATGTGCCACTCCCACACAGCCAGTTCAGGGAACTAAACCAGCCAAGCGTCAATTCCCTAGAAAATAAAGCAACTGTTTTTAGCTCCTTGAACCAGCTCACCACAGGTTCAGATGGCACAATGGAAACAATAAGAGCACGCAGTCAATAACCAAAAGCTGGGCCTCCATTCTCTATCTTAGCTTGACTGCATTAACTGCTTCCACATCAACCTCGAAACCAAGCCAAGCCATTCATTCCTGGACTACAGATATACCCAAGCAGTCCCAAGCTGGAACCCATTCAGTGATTCACAGATTGCTTTTTAAGTACAGGGTGTGTCAGTGGCACTGCAAGGAGCTGTTTGCCTTGTACATCTGTCTTCTGCTGCAGCAAATAAATTTGACATCTGCAACCATCACCTGTTTTAAACTTATTTCTTTGGAGTCAGATCTCACTTCCAAGTACATGAAACTTTCACCGACAAATAATTTGGAAGATTATCAGACAGCGGACTTTGGGTCTTATAGGGAGTAGGTCAAGAACTGCAGGATCTTCCTTTCCACCCAGCTTTTTCTCATGCAGATATTGTTTACTCCACTTGGTTAATGGAAAGGCTCTTATGTTTATTTTCCCTCTAAAATTGCAAAGATTGGTAAACGTTCTATCTCCCTCCCTTATATATTTGTCCTTTATTTTTGTTGCGCGCCCCCCCCCCCCCCCAGCAAAAGCTTTTAACAGCATGGGGGGTGGGGAAATGTCACTTCAAACCAGCTGGGCAAATCCTAAAGATTCATTATAATCCATAATACCACTTAAGAGAAAAGAACCAGCCTTCAATCTCCACTTCTTAGACTATTTCCCTTCTGAATTCATTAAAGGGGCACTTCTAATAATACCTAGACATATTTAACAAAATAAAACCTCTTTTGAAGTGTGAGCTCCTAGTATAGTTCAAAACTTTGAGCTTGATCCTTATTCATTTTATTAGGAATGGGAAAGGGCTGCTTATGATAAGATGACCTATACCTTACACTCCTGCGAAAAGCTGGGTTACCAGTTTGTGGATCCCCTGACTCAAAGCATATACTTACTCTCCTTTTTCATTCCATTCTAGACAGTTGACACACCCAGAGTGACCCTGAGCAAAAAGGGGAAGAGAGTATTACACAAACTTCAGACTTATCAAACAGGGCTGTTCTAAGACAAGGACACAGTGAGCTCCCCACACATAACAACTTGTTCCAATACAAGCAGCTTTTTATTCCAACCCTGCAAAAAACCACCCACATGGCAGATAAGCACCTCCAGAAAAGATAGACATGCTGTAGCAGTTGGGGGAGAAAAGGCAAAATGAAATAAAATAAAAAAAAAAAAGTAGGTTGAATAAAATGGCAGTTCAGTCTCAGAGGCTACTGGTGAAATCCTGCTGTACACAAGGAAAGGTGACTTTGTTTCAAAAGCCCTTGGCTAGACTGACAAATTGCATGTACAGGTTCTCTGGAAGTCCAGGGAAAATGCACTTTTGATAACTCTCTTTTAGAAGCACCTTGCTGCTGGGTTACTACATCATACCTCCTCAGACAAATTAACTAACAAATGTCATAGGAAAAGACTAGGAGAGCATTGAATAGCATTTGAAACGGGAGACTTGGTTGAGAAGGGGACAGAAGAACTCTTTTGTCTCCCAAACCAAGACAACCTTAAGATCATCTTAAGCTGTGTCAGACTGCAGCACAACAACTGGTTCTTTAGATAACACATTACAATCTTCAATATTGGAGCCGAATATCTTGACTAGCTGACAGTTCAGAGAGGTTTGCCTTCTTCAGGCACTACAGTTAGGATTAGTCGATAGACACCAGCTAAAGGCTCTGTTGTAGGTGCGTTAGTTAACACAGAGAGCTCACACAAGATCTCACCGAGCTATTCCTGTCTCTAATGCAGCTTAGGGGAGTAAGTAAACAGTGTATCTCTCCCAAACAAGAGAAAGAAGTCCATACAGCCTAGCATGCTGCATTTCCTACAAGTAGCTCAGTTTGTTCTTTAAACACTACCCCACTTACCTGCAATTCTGCCTCTAGGCCCAGGCGTCGAATGAACGGATCAGTGACATGATAGTGTCGTTCAAAGCCTAGCGCACCCCTCTCCTGTACGAAGCAAATAAATGTCACACTGAATACAGCAAACACTTTTTCCCCTTTAAGGGAAGACTCCAAAACTGTAAAAACAAGCAGGGACCTTGCCAGATATTGGGGCATCCATGGCATCAAGTACCAGTCCCGTAGTAAGGGGCACCTTTCACATCAGATCCAGGTAGGGAGTTTGTAACCCTTGCCCCGAATCAGTTCAAAAATGACATCTATCTTATTACCAAGCTCCAGCTGGGTAGCCAAGATAAGGACTGGAGAGGCCCACACCAAGACAGAAATAAGTCGCCTGCTTTTGACCAGAAATGGAAGATACAAAAGAGCTTGAGGATGCCTGTCTCTATCCCTTGGCAAAGATTTCAGAAACAACTCACACCTGAGAAGGCAAGACCATAGCTGCTGAGGAGAAAAGTCTGCCATTACACAGAATCTGTCCTGAAGCGCCACAGATTACCGTGAAACAGAATCAAATGCTTATAATCTCAGTATTCCCAGGTCATTCTCACTGCTCCCTGAGCCCACTACCACCAAGGAGAAAAGCATTGGGGATTGTTAGTGGACAGCATCCTTTAAAGATGGCTTGTTTCATCAGAAATGGAATAGTAGCATGTAGCTGCAGTACCACAGCACAGTCTGTTCTACAGGGAAGAGAACAGCTGCCACATAGCCACGTCGGTACAAATGAAGGTGAAAAAAAGCAGGACAGTTGTTTCCCCTGCGATCTCACAGGGTTCACAGATGCGTAAGCAGATGGCTTGGATGAAAGAAGGACAACTGCAGGGGCAGAAGTGAACGCAAGTCATATTTTGGATGGAACAGCTAATGACTGGAGGAGGTTCCTTCCTGGGACACCTGGTTCGGTCTCAGGCCTGTCCAATGCCATGCCATAGTCCAGTGAAGACTACTTAAGCCTTTGTTTAATCACCATTTATAGATAAGAACACTAATATCTGACAGACTGTACTTATGGTACCAGGAACACGTTAGTAGTCACAAAGCAAACACAAAGAATGGAACAAGAATACCAAGCTACAGCTCTGCAGGCCAAAATTAAGTAATCAACTCCAGACACTAAAAGCTGTTTGAAATCAAAATAGAAAGAGACATAAGGCGACGGAGGTAGGGGGCAAGTGACACAAAACAAAATAGGCTTTTTATAGTAACTTACATGACAAACTTCAACCCCCTTTACATACTTTTATGGGCAGCATTCCCAAAATATTGCTAGGTCCCATGCAAGGTGCTGCAGTTATAATTACCTTGCTATTGCAACCTCAGTAACTTTGTGAGGTCTGTGCAATGGGATACTGCTTTTCCTACAAGGAACTGACAGACTTAGCAGCCTTCCCAAGGTTACACACAAAAGCCTCTAACGGAGCAGATAGAGTAAGCTAAGTCCCAGGCTAACACAAACCACAGAACCATCCTTTCGTCGTTAGAGCAACAAGATAAATCTTTGCACATGGATTATATTACAAGCTTATCATACAAAGTTAGGTACCAAACTGCAAAGTGAACTGGAACTTCCAAGCTCCCAGTTCCTAATTCTGACCACTAACAAACCACTTTTGCAGCTTTGCTGGTAATCAGCACTCACAAATGATTTGAGGCCTCCAAGCCCAAGTAATAACTGCCTATTGTGCCTGCTGTAGCTAGTCCTTTCACGTTAAGGGATATTTCACTAATGTAGCCATCAGATGACTGATGTGACCACAGCAGAAGTTTTTCCCTATTTTTTAAAAAAAAAAAAAAAAAAAAAAAAAGGGGGGGGGGGGAGGGGGAAACAAAGAGAGAGATCATATGCTTTACTAAAGCCAGACAATCTTTGATGGCAAGATCACACAGAGAGAAAGAAAATACAAAGTAGACAGAAAACTCATGAGGGAAGCTAGTTAAGAGTCCTTTACAGTAACAAAAACACAAGTAGCCAGAGTTCTCTCTTCAACATTATA